TTAGAACCTTCAATAATGAAACCCTTTGTGACTTCTTGGATACAACATAATAGTATTAATATCAATTTGTCAATGCTATTGTTGATATTAATCATAAAAATAATGGAATTAGCGCAAAAAGTTTCTAACCTAAGGATAATTGAAGTTCAATATTAAAATAAGATATTCTTATAGTTAAAGCCGATTCAATTTAATGGAGGGTTAAAACTCCTCAAAGAGGATGATTAGTTCATGAATACACATAAAACATTTAAAGATATGAAATTCCTAATTCAAAGAAATGATGATTAGAGCATTCATCCAAATAATAAATTTAAAACATCGTTGATAGCTAGGTTGTACGTGCATATAGATAGAAGATTGATAATAATAATAGAAAAAAAAAACTTCTAAGAGTTTATATAAGCATTCTAAGATAAGTACAGGCTATCAAATATCCATCAGGTGCTTTTGAGTAGGTTAAGTTATTCAAATACCAAGCCTTTGTAGTTGTTTAGGCTAAACAAAAGCATTTTTAATGTGAACAAACTTGGTTATAGACTAAGAGATATGGAGTAGGTATAATTGCTTAAAGACTAGGCCTAGGCTATCCGTTAATGTGCCGTTACTACACTGGCTTTAGTAGAGTTCTCTAATCACCTTTTCTACTACATTTAGGCACATTCATCTACTAATGTAACAATATGACTTCATGTTCAACTTTTCAACAATATATAACGTAGCATATAGATTTATAATAAAGTTCTTGAGTGTCTTATTGAAAGCATGATAAAGTAGCATTCAAGATCGATGAGAACTGAAGTTCTTCTAAGTTGACTTGAATTATTTTTAACTCTTTAATGAAGGGTAACTCTAACACATGTAATGTAGTTGTAGTAGGATTATAATATTTACTTGCAAGTTAGCAATTTAGTTATCCTCTTGAGGTATATGGACGATTTCAACTTTATAGAGCTTAAATTTTTTTTGTTTTAACTATGCTTAAGTACCAATCTATTCTAATATTTTAAACTTCAAAATCCCTATACACTTATTTTACTAATAGCTAAGAGCTAAATAGAGCCACTAGAGTTTTGACATCAGGACTTATTGTGAAGTATGTTGTCACCAATATGGCTTTGTATTTGGCCTACATAGAGTGAGATATTCAAAACATTTTCAAGTAGCATTGCTTTCAAAGATGTGAATCTATTTGCACCCATACAATAGGCTTAAGGCTTTGTTTGCCCATTTTAGATTTTTAAAGAATAGAAACTAGGTCATCCTTCATTTTATTCAAGAAAAATTTTGAATATTAAGACAATATCCCTAAATAATATTTATTATATTTAATAATAAGAACTTCATAACATTCTAAATTATGTACATGATATCCACCAAGCAATTTAGTGATGAACTGACAAAAGTAGCATTATATGCAAAAGGGGTGTGAATCTTCATAAACTTAGTCTTGAGGATCTTATGGCGTTGATGATATCTCCAAATACTTTAAGGGTGATGAGGCTCTTGGGTACACATATTTCTCCTTATAAGCCAATCAAAGCTTTTTATTTATGCTAAAGCTTCTTATAGAAGAGCCCCATCCTCTATCTCGAAGAGTTACATAAACTTAACATTTATGGAGTTTCTAACATTGATAAGTATTCTTAAAACCTTGTAGTGAATAGTTTCTATTTTGATTATAATAGAGAGATAAAAGGTTATTGAATGATGGTTGGTCATAAATTGAGAATAAAATGATAAGAAAGCAAGATGAAAAAGTTTACCTTATAATGGCTTACTTATTAATGATTTAATCATTGAGAAGCCTGAACTCCTATTCCTTCTCAGTAATTGGGTGAAGTTAGTTAATCTATTTCTCACTACTTCGGCTGCTAAGACTCAATTTTTGATTAGTTGTTGGCTTGGTTTACAAAAATAAATAAATAAATAATCTTAAGATGGCCTTCTTCGATAATCTTTTTGAGTAAGGCCTTAAGTATATGTTAGTTATCAATGTTATGATAAATATATAATTATTCTTTTTTCTTCGTCCCCTAAAAAGTACTTTCATTTTTTTATGTCCAAATTGATTAAATGAATATCCAATGGGGAAGAATTTGCACATCTTCATATTTATTTAAAAGATAGTATGATGAATTGACTTTGACAGTCATGGAAGCCAAGATAGCATAAAAGGGATCCACAAAGTAATAATCAATTAGATCATAATTTTTTATATATGTCATGATGAATATTTATGGGTTGAGTTCTTTAAATGATCACTTCAAAATTAAGATAGTTGTCTACTTTATTTTGTTAAGTTGGTTATAGTCTCTAGGTGGGTTCTTGGAGTTAAAAAATTTAAAGGGAACTTACTCCTAGGATCAACGCAACCTTTACTATTGATGAAAACTTAGAAATTTTATGAAAATTCTAATTTAAATAAGCAACATATTCATGGAGAGATTTTTCATTTTTATATTTGATGTAAAAGAGAATTTAAGAGAATTAAGAAAGCAATATGTACCTTACTTAATCAAAGAATGAAACATGGGATATTAGTAGCTTTGATACCCATATTATCATGGAATCCATAAAGGTGAAAGTAAAACATTTAAGATAATTTTAGCTGTCATAAAGAGAAATCACATCTTCAAACATATAAATGCTAATATGGCCTATGGTACCCTCTAAGATGTTGAACATAGCAACTCTAAATCATGTGGGGATATGGTCAATGAGGATTTCAAGGATAAGAGCGGAGAAATGAGGAAAACCTTTTGATGAGATATATAAGGTATTGAATATGCATATGGTGAGAAGTATAAAATTCACAAATTAGGCTTCTATATATGTTTGAGTAGGGATAGTAAAGTGAGAAACATTTTGTTATTATTAGAAATGGTGAACTTGGAGTAGTTATCCATGACCATTTCTTTCATAAACACTTCCCAAGAATGATGCCAAATTTTAAACTATGGAATTATCTAATATACTAGCTCAAGTAGCACGAGATAGTCAACTTGCTCAAGGGATTAGAAATTAAAAAAAAAAATCTTAACATAAGTGACTAAGGAATCAGGTGTGATGAACAAGTTAGCACCAGAACAAGGTTACAAATAACTCACAAGAAATGAGAATAATGAATAAGAGAAGGCTCTTCTATAGTTTATAATTTTAATAGGATTTAAGAAATATAAAGTATTGCCACACTTTTATGGTTTAATTAAGGTCTTAAGGAGTAATTAAGCACATAGTATCAATGGTCTAAGGAACAAAGAAGAATGTCCCCTTAATTTCATAATGAGTTTATATGATTCAAATCTAGATTAGTCAAGAGAGTTGCAAAAGGACTGATGTTATAAGAGGAGTACTACCGCATGTTGGTAGGTGTTCAACATTTTTTTTCTTAAGCATAAAAGTTGTGCTACATGTTAGTTGCATATTTGGAGAATATACATCAAGAATATTGAGTAAAAGAATACCCCTATTGGTTGAGTGCATTAATGTCTAATGGATGATGCCATTGAGGATTCATATTTTTTAATTAATTCTTCTTGGTGTAAAGTTGATTATTGAATTCATGGAATATGTTGATACTACCAGAGCATAAAAAGTATTTATATCATTTATTAGATATAGTTGTATGATGGTAGCACAACTTTGCTTTAGGCGGCGTAGACATTATGAAGAAAATATGATGATGTTAGATGGATAATGTAGCAAAATGAAAATCCTTTGTAACCTTTCATAATGCTAAGTAGGTTTTTTGGTTAACAATGCTCAACGATGTAGGGAAAATAACTTTGCTATTAATTTTGGTCGCTCCTTACACAAGGATCACCAATAAATTATTGAATTTGATTCACATGGAAGTTTTGATCCTATATATAAATTAATATTGAACAATTTAAAGGAAATTTGGTTAAACAATTTGCCTTTTAAAGTCATTATCAAACCCCAAAGTATTTAATAAGGTTCAAAAAGTTTGTAGGAGCTCAATGTAGATAATATAATTGTCAGACTAAAAAAGAGAGACCAAGATTCAAGAAGTTTATAAGAGTTCACTATAGAAAACAAAATTATCTAACTAAAAAAGAAATATTAAAAAACTTCCCCAAAATATTTACATTATATTGGATGATTCTTTTTGGATGCAATCTCGTATGTGGGTGTCTCTATCACGAGGCTTATAATGTCAAATCAAAGAATGGACATGCATTTATATTTATTCTTATAAGGTGCTAATGCCAATATAATGAGTTAATACTATAAATTTGTGCTATAATCACAATTATTAGAAAATATCTAATACGAAAAATTATACATTTTTAAATTGTAATTAAAACCAACACCTTAATTACACTTTTGCCCTTGTAATCACCATTTTTTGAAGTAGTTTCAACATTAATTTTATATCTTGGATAACAGTTGACAAAATCTATTACATTCACTCCCACTTTATTTAGCCACAAAAGCAAAGTTGACTTTAAATTATTATTTTATGTAGATTTCCTTAGGGAATGTATATAGTAGCACCCTTTATCAAATAAAATAATTAAGTATACTTTCACATAGGTATAAGTAACACTTTTTAAACCAATTCATGTGCTAATACAAATAAAGAAAAGATGCACTTATAATAAAATTTTATGCATAATTTTCTGTATGTTAAAAATATTTTCTTAAAAAGTGATAGTTCATGATAAAGACGTACTCAAGCTTCGTTTGAGTCAGCTTTCTTACTGCTTCTTAAAACAACTTTATAGTATAAAAAATTAAAATTTTTGTACTAAAAAATTGCTTTAAAAAACAATAAGAAATCCGTCCCAAACGAAATCTTAAACTCTCAATGTACTAAGTTGATATGAATTTGCACTTCAGAATGCCTCATTGCCAAACATGAATGAAATTAAGTTCCTTCAATGCAAGCTCCACCATGCACATGCATAAATGTTTGATAATCAAAATTGTAAATCTCTCATATATAAGATGTAACGCAAATAATATATGCTTACAGTTCCGTCAGCTTGGAGATCATCGGAGTCCTCAAGGCGGTACTCGTGCATTATCCAGTCAGTCTTCAGGCCATGAGGGGCTCGCCCACGATAGAAGACGAGCGTCTTCCTCATGCCGATCTTGTTGTAGCTGGTTCGGATGCACTTGTCCCTTCCAGTTGCCTTCCAAAACCCTGCGCTCGTCGCCCGATTTGTTCTTGACCCAGTTGGATACTTACGATCCTTGTGGCTGAAGAAGTACCACTCGCTTTGTGGTGTGGCTCCTATCCTGCACCTCTCTGTTTGACGTTTTTAAATATATTTTTGCATCTTATATCACAAATATTATGTTTTTCATTGAAAGGAATGATTTAAAAGACTAAAAAAAAGATCTTCATGTAATTATCTTTTTTGGTTTTAATAATAGAGCTCGGGATACCAAGCTAATGGAAAGTAGTCAACGCATCAAGGTTGTGCCTTTCGCATCTCCATTTGAAGGAACATTTCAATCAACCTTAGTTTCCATTGAACTTTCATCTCCATCGATCTTGACAAGGAGGGTTGTCTCTTGTAACTCCTTTTTACTATTAGTGGAAGGTTTGTTTGAGAAAAAATTATTACGTGCGGTTGCTGGACGTGTCCGGAGGCTAATCGATCTGGACGTGCTAGATCATCAAATGCTTCCGGATTGGCCTCCGGATACGTCCGGACAACGCATAGAATAATCTCTTTTGTTTAAGATAACTTTCTTACTACCTTCTAAAATAGCTTTTTAGTTCAACAAATTTTTGCATTGAAAAGATGTTTTAGAAAGCAATAAGAAAGCGAAATATTTTGAGATTTTTATATAAAAAATTTATATTGCTTGCTCTCTTCACACATCTTATAGCACGTGAAATATCATATAAAAATAAGACAATCATATCAAACTTTTCTCTCTTTGCACACATCAAGGATGCTCTAATACAATTTTTTTTTCCTTTGCAATGGTCTGGGTGGTTAATTTTGACAAAATTATGATAGATTATGAGGTACAAATAATTTAGATGTGCTATGTACAAACTATGTGATACATTCCGTGATTCATCCTTTCCCTTTGTTAGTAATTAAATTCATATTATTTAAGTGTTGCAAATCAAGCTCATTGAGATTGTAGAAAGGTAGCATTACACTTAATTAATTGTAGTCAAGTAGATGCATTGTGGACATGAGAGGCCTGTGAGCATGAATATGAAGCCACAGCATAGAAGAAATACCAATAAAGTTAATGACAAACAATATCATATACAGTTTCAAATATATAAGCTTATGATCGCATGCAATCAATACAAAGCCAGCTCTAGAAGAATATAATTAAGTGATCACCTTGCAAATCCCATGGCTCCGTCTTGTTCAAGTCAACCTCTCTGATCACTTCAAGGTCGAACTTTTCAAAGGAAACCTTCTTCTTGAGATAGTAGAGGAGAAGCTCTTCATCAGTGGGATGAAACCTGAAGCCTGGCGGCACGCCGGAGCTCGACGTTGTCACCGAAGAAGAAGAAGCCATTAATCCTCTGGTAATAACAGTGGTACTATTTAAAACTCTCAAATGAAAATCTGGTCTCTCTCCTTTTCATGTAATGTTACGCATATTTTCTAGTCTTATATATGTAATGAGAAGAAAGTTGACACCGATAGCTACGCCGATGGGTTGGGAAAAAGTAAGTATACGTAGAAAGGAAGCTAAGTGCATGAGCTTGAGAAATTATGGGGGATTTTAAAAGTATTATCATGTAATATAAGTCCATAAACGATCCCGAGGAGTAAGAAATTGATTTAATTATGTTATAGGTGTAATTTTGATTGTTTTTAAAGCAAGTTCGGTCAAGAGCTTTGATTTTGTAGATGCTAATATTGAGGTTTTATAGTGATTTTGAGAATTGAGAGCAAGTGGTATTATGCTCTAAGTTTCAATAAGCAATTGAGACTTTAAAAATTATTTCAAAAATCAAACCGACTCTATATAATACAAATTTATAGTCAAATTAAGTAATTATTTAACCATTGCAACTCTAAAGACTCTAAGATCCCCCAAATTTGAGCATGTTAGGTAGCCAAATTAGCCTAATTGACCAAAGTCAAATAGGGTCGAGTTAAATTACTAGGCTGACCACCCCCTCTTCTTCCTTACACATGCATAGGGATGCATTTCTCGTGCATAACATATGAGTAGCATATACCACTACCACCCCATTGACTAGCAAAGGACCTGTTTGATCGATCACATTGACAACCTCTCTTTGCGAGCAAGCATTCGAGGGTGTTTGATTGACCTAATGGCTCGCCATTTTCACGAGCTCATTTTGATGGATATAAAATCTCTGGAGTTATTACAAAGTCCACGTGCCTCAGCTTCACGAGTCATTTATGAAAAATATTTTTCTTTTTGAAAAGAGAAACATATAAATACAAAATAAGAATTTTATATTATTTTTTGTTGTTTGTAAATTTGATATGTAAACCTTTTTCAAAAAAAATTGGTCAATCTTGCTATCAAAAATTCATTCTGTCAACTTAATTGAATTTCTAACATCAAGAGCTATAAGATGGTACATTTTGTTTACCATTTCAGTGGTTGTGGTTGTGGTAAACCACAACCACTGGCATTGGTTGATTGATCAGGCTAGCTCTAGCCTAGTAGGTTAAATGAATAAACTTTGAAGTGGTCTAAACAACTTTCCGAATAAAAGGAGGGCATAATATAGACTACTTATTTTTATTGCAAATAAGGAAGACATTGACAAAAAGGATTAGAATACCAACCTTAAAATTTTTAAACAGGACCACCACATTCTACATATTAAGTAAACATTAGGATAATGGCAAAGCTTCATAATCATAGATATTTCTAAAACTTTGACAACCTAGCTCTTAGAGTGCTAGTCGACCATTACCAGCGGTCTTAGATTAATCATACACCACTATCTTTATGTTGCACAATTTTCCTTTTTTCTAAAAGAGGGGTTGCATCGACCACCCTTAAATGCGTCATAACTCAAAAATCATTCTCGTATGACAGAAATTGCATCAAGCACCTTTAATAATTTACGTTAAGATCTTCATAACCCTGATTCCTATTTTTTAATGATGGATTGGCTAAACTGCCATATACCATCATCCATAATATTGTTGAATTCCTTCCACTTCACCACATAAGAAATTCATCATAGTCAAGTCTTTTTATATTGCATCAATATCTTCTCAACTACCTTTATCTAAGTTTGATGGAATATTTAGATGTCCATGGTCGAAACACAAAAATTAAACATTTCTTTAGCCCGATGATGTAAAGGTTGATTTATATCATAGGGGATTGTTCCAAGCTACTGGCAGATTTAAACCTCACATGACATGTAAGAGCCATATAGAGATACTCATGCCGGTTTAACCAAATAAAATTTTATCCTTAGACCTATATTGCTTTGGACCATTGGTAATTTCCAGCTTATAATATATTATCTGGCTGGAGAACAGCAGAAAAATTAGCTTGCCCTTACTACATGAAGAATACTAAATCTTTCACAATAAATTATGAATAAAAAAATACTTAGTTTGATTATTATTATATGTTCCTATATATATACTGATCATCCATTTTGGAGAAATAAGGAAGCTTTCAATAAAAATAGAGTTGAGATGTGACATCCTCCACACAAATTAAATGGTGATGACGTACTATAGAGTCTTTTTGATATTTCATCAATTATTAATTTTTCAACATTATCAGAATGTAAATTTTTTAGATATGGTGCTCAAAATAATTAGACTAAAAAGGTATTTTTCTGGATATTACTATATTTGAGAAAAAATTTAATAAGACATAATCTGAATGTTATGCAGATTGAGGAGAACTTTCTAGATAATATTTTTAATATAATTATGAATGTTAAAGGAAAGAGAAAGGATAATGTGAAAGCTATGAATGAAGTACATCTACTTAAGCATTTTATGATATTAGTGGAGTTGAAGAAATAGTTAGTCAAAGGGTTGCTGCCTTGAAAAAAAAGATAGAGAAGATGAGAAATATTCAAAATGAGATGCAAATAGAGCTGCAATCATATCGAACTAAAAATAAGAAGAAAAAACAGCAAGAGCCTACACCTGCATCACAAAACAACAATGATATGAAGGATGATTAATGTTATTATTTATTGTTAGTTATTTGAAAAACTGTTTGGTGTATTTGGAATATCTAACGGTGGATATTATATATTTTATTAATAGTGAAACATATGCATTGTTATTTATTTAAAGAAGTGTTTCTAGTTATTGTGGATTCTGTAAATATATCTGTTGATTGTATATTATAATTACTTCATATGAATTGATCTGTTGATTTTGGAAATAAAAAATTAATATATATATTATGTCTGCAGGTAATTATGAAAATTGGTGTAAATAGAAGAGGGTTGTCATTTTATTTTTGTAAATGCTATAGGTTTCTGACGGCTAATCGGTAGATTGGTTGCCGAAAACTTCGATACCATACGCCTTGAAGTTACAGTCAATTTTAAATTTTACTGCTGGTAATAACCATCAGTTTGGCCACCGGACATACAAACGGTGCTTATCGCCGGTAATATATTTGAGGTTCATGACAGTTAAATCGTCGAAAATTATCGGTGGTTTACCCTCGATTTTGGATTCATTAATTTTTTGGTTGTTTTAGCCACCAAAAAATCACCAGAAAATAGCCGCCAATATTCGTTTCCTACGTGGTTTATTCTGGCAGTTTAGTAACCGCCGGTTAACGACCAGAAATATTTCAATCCACTAAAAAATTTGCACCCGAAAATTACCACAAGTAATTGATAATTTTCCTGTAGTATTTTTGTCCGGACACCAGAATATTAAGCTAATTTTCATATTGAAAGTTCAATTCGGGTCATTAGATTGACTTAAACTACCTAAGGCACACTAAGAGAGAGGGGGAGGGGAGGTGAATTCGTGTTTTAAAAATATCTTTTTTAAAAAGAATTTCTTTTTAAAACGATGTTAAAAAAATACAAGCGGAAGAAAATATAAAAAAAAAAGAAATTTATGTGTTTTTGATTGAACGGAAAAATATTTTGTTCATTTTAATTTTTAGATTTTTTAGATTTTTTACTTCTTTTCTTTTCTAATAAATGATAAATAGAAAATAATCTTAATATTCTCAACTCAGATTTGCGTGAAAGTAAATGTACAAGATAAATAATATAGAAAATAAAAGTGTGAAATAAAGGAACAAGCACACAAAAAATTTTATGGTGGTTCGATAAAATCTTGACTTATGTCCACTACTCAGAGTCCTCTTCTGGTGTTACACTAAACTTTTAGTGTTTCTCTTTTATCTCCTACAGTAAGGTGGAGAAGCCCTTAAAAACTCACTTCCACCCTTTTACGGTGCGCCTGAGAACCTGAATCATTTCCACCCTTCAAATGAGGGAGAGAATCTAGATTATTCCTTTTTACCTTCCTAGTGAGGTAGAGAACCTGCAATTATTTTCACCCTCCTGGTGAGGCAAAAAACTTGGATCTTCAACCTTGTAAACTTTCTTCCTAGAGTTACCCAAAAGATCGACAAATACACTTGGAGGAACCAAGGGAGAAGCTTTCCTAGAGCAACCACATGAACCCCCTCACACAACTTCCTCTCACAAAATTACTCATTCTAGCTCCCTCTCTAAGATTTAAGGCCTCTCATAGAACTTTCTCGAGCCAAAGATCTTTTCAAAGTCAATAATAAAGTTTTAAATACAAGGATTAAAAAAATCCTAAAATTTCAACTCTATCACTTATGATCGTAAAGTAGATATATGATCGTACAGTACGATTAATTCCATTTATCTAGTTTAGATTGTACAATGAAAGAGGTCATGTATAATAAGTTCAACTTCTTGAATGGATCGTCCAATATGAGTTAAGGATCATACAGTCCGATTAGTTTAATCGAATAAAATTTTCATCTAATACGATCGGTGGCAATTAAATATCGTCATGGGAGCAAATCGAGTCATAAGTATGATTAAGAACATCGTATAGTATGATATTAAGAATCAATTAATAATGATTCGATTGCCTAATTATAGGATTAGATTAAACAAGATTTGTTGATATTGTACAGTACGATTAATTCATATTCTGAATTTTAAAATACTGATAGATTCATGATTGGTAGCAGGAATCTTGATTTCTACTTATCATCATGTACGATGTTAATTATAAATTATGATTAGTTTTAATTTTAATTAATTTAATTACTTACTTAATTAATCACTATTTTAGTCATATCATACAGTATGATATATATCGTATAGTACAATCTTCACAAAAATCAAACTGCTTCATTTTTCTCTTGGTGTGTGTGTGCATGGTTGCCAAACTAGCATACATCTTTTATAGGACTTACGAATTAAGAAATATAAAAATTAAATAAATAAAAATATATACTTTTTGCAAAGATATCAAACTTATTCTACCCAGTCTTGTGATGAGCCTTTTGCACGGTGTACGATGTACTTGAAT